AGTCCTTTTTTGGTGCTGCTGCAACAGTGACATGAAGTTTGGTTATGATTTTGCCATCTCCGGGGATGAGCCAGGTTCAGGGTCACCCTTGCTCATTCCAGAACCACTCCACTTAAATCCATGGCAGTGCAACAGCATCATCAGCAGAGAATCCTGGGCCTGCTACCACCATCCCCCCTGTGCTCTCAGTAGCATCAAGTGTGTTGGCATTGGGGCCCTGCACTGCTCCAGGGATGCCCTGCCACAGCCTCTTGGGATGCAGAGGAGAAGGCAGGGAGGCTGTGAAAGGCTGGGAAGGGCAACTTGGAAATAAATGCTCAGTGATCACTCATGGGGTTGGCTGAGCAAATGATAACCTGTCTGAGCAAATGGATTTCTCCAGCTCATAGCAAAGGGTTCAGTGTCTGTTAGGGAAAATATTTGTTCTAGGCAGGAAATGAGGATTTCCTCCAATTATTATTGTGAATAGGAATGGGCTGGGAGGCTGCACTGGGACTGAGTCCCCACGTGTGGGATGCTGAGAGATGTTGCACACGGGTGGGACAGTTGAGTCCTGCAGTGTTCCCTGCTCTCTGATTCCATGCGTTTCTGTGTCTGCTGTATTCCTCCAGATTTCTGGGATTCATTCTCCAATATCTCCCTGGGGCTCTGTAGCACCAGAAAGATTCCTGTTGATGGGTCACATAACAGCTTTTTCTTTTGCACTTCTGGAATCTCCCTGAACATCCTCACTGTCACTGGGGCAGCTACAGATCTCCAAAGACAAGATCAAATCCATGAGTAAAACCAAATTATCTCCACAGGCTCCAAAGGCAATGTCAATACTAATGACAATACTAAAGCTTCTTTCTTGCTCTTTTTTTTGTTTATTTAATACTGTGGTGTGAAGTGACTTGGTAGGATAATAGATATTTCAGAGCCTGCTCGTGAAAACTGTTTTTCACACCAAACAGAATAAAAGCAAAATTATCTGCTAAAGCTGCAGATTTTCAATGCACCAAATAAGCACTGCTGCCTGTTATTGCAAAATGAGGACTGGACCTGAGTAAATATTGTTCTTTAGTGGATGAGAAGGTAAGAGCTGGGAAGGCAGATATAGAAAACCAGGGCAGGATTGTGGTACCCACCGTGAGCAGGGCAGGGAGCCATCCCCTCTGTACTGGGGCTGCTGCTGCAGGCACGTTCTGCAGCACCTCAGCCTGATGAAGGAAGGTGCCTATGAATTACTCAATGCCTCCATAGATAAAATTTAAAAATTAAATAAAACAGTGGATGAGTCTGAGCTCCCTGACGTGGCAACACCACGTATAACCCAGCTCTGCTCTGCACCAGGCACACGGGCTCCGTTTGCTTTTCACACACCCCATCACTGCCTCCTGTGTTTTCCTTCCTCAGGTATTTCAGTCGTTTCTTTCCCAACACCTCATCATTCTGAGGCTCCTTCTGAGGGAGGACAGGGTATGTGTAAGACCCCTGACCTCCTCCCGATGGCAATGTTGATCTTGGAAGCTGCACGTGGCAGCGGTCACCGGTGCTCCTGGGGGGAAGGCAGCTGTGTCTCCCTCTTTTTGGGGAGTCCAAACTGCAGCAAGTGAGGTCCTGGTGAGACCTCTCTGGGGCTTCAGTGAGCTCATAATGTGCTTGGTCAGAGCACAGCCCCAGTGCCTGTGCTGCAGCCTGGACTTGTTGGCAAAACTGCTGAGATGCTTTTTGGTTATAAAGGGAGAGTTGGTTATTGGAGCCTCAAGACTGAGCCATTCCTGCTGCTGCTCCCTTTTCATCTCCCTCCCCTTCCCACTCACTGGGAAACCAGCCTGGGGATGAAGTTGGAGAAGATGCTGGGTGCCTTAAGAGCAGTGGAGAGCACTGAACCTGAGTGATGTGTGTGTGTGTGTGTGCATGGCCCGAATCACACCAGCTCCTATTATGAAGTTCTACAGAGCTTCAAAACCAAAGGAAACTCATTTTCCAGTCTCATTTTCCACTCTCCAGCACCTGACCCTCCTCCTTGGCAGCAGAGATGAGCGTTTTCCCTGGCACAAATGCCAGGTAGGATTTACTGTGATGCAAACGACCAAAGCATTTATATATAATGATATAAAGATAACAACGCAGGCTGAAAGTGTTTTACAGGAGAAGTTTGCCTCGGAGAGTGATTTAAAGCTGGGCCAGGCAGAGAATCCCCCAGTGGAGGTGACACTGTTGGCTCGGGAGGGCTGGCAGAGGCACATCATTCCCGCATGGAGCAGCACCGCTCGCCGCCCGCTTCCCCCCTTCCCTTCTGGCACCGGGTTATTTTCAGCTTTCTGAAGCAACTGTAGCCCAGTGAGCTAACAGGAGGTGATGACAGCTTGGGAGGTAGGGCTGGTGGTGCTGACAGCTTGGAGCGTTACACCTTTCCCGGGAAAATTGCGGCAATCACCTGGCAGGGTGGAAGAGAAGAAAGGTGTTTTGAGCAATAGCCGTGATCGCCACAGGGATCACAGTCCTGCTGATACTTACTCTGGTAGATCCACCGTGTTTGCAGGGATGGGTTTCAGGGAAAAGCTCACAGCTGGCTGTTTTACCAAGGGAAGAGTCACATGAAGGAATTTTGCTAGGGATTCCTTCAGCTTGCTTGCTGTCAGGGCTGCAGCCACCAGCCCCTGTCCCTGATGGAGACACGTGTTCAAAGATAGGGAAAACCTGTGGAAAAAGATGGATATAGGAGGTGAGTCGGCTCCTGTGGCCCTCCCAGATTGTAGCCTTGGTCCCTGCACAGCATGGAGCATCACGAGACCCTGTGGGATGGAGACATAGCTAGAGTTTGGGAACCAGCATGCGAGAAGGGCTTTGCTCTGGAACACCCTGCAGCTCATTCCAGAGGCCAAGCATTTGTTATTTGTATTTTTAAATGATTTTTCAGGTCCTTGCATTAGAAATATCTCATTTTTTTCCCCTCTCCCTGAGGGACTGCCCAGCATGCTGGATTGCAGCAGCTTCGGGGAGAGTTGGGGGAAGAAAAACCAGCACCTCAAATGGTCAAAAATGGGTCATTGTGGTTGGCAAAGGGGGTTTGGGTGTAAGTTACATTACAGATGCTCTCTGGGTGAAGTCAGGATGGCCAGAAATCTCCCAAAAGCCACCTGTGTCAGATCCAGGAGGGCATCTGGATTCCCGTGGTTTCCCTGAGACCAGCAGCATTTGAGGTGCCTGCTACCCCTTTCTGTCTGGCAGTGAAGGCCAAGGTTGTGGGGGGGCTCGGAGGGGGCCCAGGGCTGCCTGCCATGGGGAACAAGTGCTGCATTGTGCCACCAAACCTGCTCCTTGGCTGATGTCAGTACAGGGGTTTGACTGCCCAGTTTTGCCAGCTCAGCACTTCAGCACGTGCTAAATTCACCCAATAAATAAAAAATGAGTACAGAACTCCTGATGGGCTGAGAACAGACGCCGCATTGACGGTGGTGGCTGATCCACCGCGGCTCCACAGCCAGCTCACGGAATGCTGGCTTGGTGATCGCCATCCTGGGGGGACTCTTCTCATCCAGCTGCTGGGAAGGTAAGGTGAGGGATTCTGTGGCAGCCGGTACCTATAAAAACTTGCTTTCCAAGCTGTCAGACCTGTGTCAGAGGGACCTGCACGTGGCCTTCCTCCACCAGCAGCTGCAGCAGCGCTGGGAGCACCAGGACCATCGGGAGGGGTTTTCCATCCTCTTGCAGGGAAGGCAGAAATAGGACCTGGAATAACTCAAGGCTTGGGTTGCAGCGTGTGTGGATGTGAGCAGGGAAAATGAGGCTGTTGGCTTGATTGTCTTGCCAAAGTCCCATAAAATGCAAAATTTCCCTGAAAGTCAGGTATCTTCATGGTTGTTCTCTGAGACTTGTCCAGGCTTGGAAATACTTTTCCTTTGGATGGGAAGAATGTACCATGGACCTTTTTAGTTGCTCTCCAGGCTGCATCCTCCATTATTCATCACTACAGGAATCACTCATCTCCCTCTCAGAAGCAGTGTAGAGCATCTCCCATCCTCTCAGGATGCTCTATCCCACCTGGAGCAGCTCGGCATGTCCGCACATGAGTACCAAGCCCTGGGAAGCGACAGAACCAGGAGATGAACTCAGTCAAGAAGGAGAAAAATTAACATTCCTGAAAGTGCCAGAGTTTTGTTTGTAGAAAGGATTTGCACTTCTGAGAGGGCTGTTGACTTTCAGGAGACTTAGGCTTTCCAAGTGCCTAAATCACTGTTGGAAATATGCTTGCAAATTTTTTTAAGTACTTAGAAAATATTTCTCCTATGTCCTCAGGCCTCCTCCAGTGGTAATTACAGAGTTGTCCATTAACCACAACGTGCAGATCTCTGCTTGAAGCTGTTGCATGTTCAGCACCCAGAAGACAGACCTCATGGAGAGGCATGGCTGGGATTTAAAAAAAATATGAGAAGGATGCATATTTAGAGGGCAAATGCCTATTTTTTCACACTGGCTTGGGGCTTTCAGGTATTTGAAGGTTTCATAGACTGAAGGCCATGTGAAATGTAGCTTCTCTCAGCTTGGGCAGTGGCCAACTCCTCCTGGGGCAGTGGGAACTCAGCATAAGTACCTTGGATTTATTAAGAGCTGATGTTCATTTATTTTTGGCGAGTTCTGTACTACCTTAAACGTGCAGCCAGGAGAAGTGTGGGGTGGAGATGGTCATGTAACTGATCCAGAGCATGCTGGGGGTAGTTTTGATGTCATCACCCATTACAGGGATAGAAGAGGTGCAGGACCTGCCAAGGATGGGGAGATGGGAGTTTGCAGTGTCTGCTCACCTCCTGGGGACCCGCTGGCTGCGAGTGTTTCTGCTGCTCTTCTTGCTTTCCGTTGGGATGGGAGGGCTCAGATTTGGGATGGGGCTGGAATGGGGTCGGGAGTACTCTCAGCTCACCTGGTGTAACTCCTATCCCAGCCCAGCTTCAGGACTGCCCCCGTTCCCTGTCCCCACACCTGACTCAGCTGCCTGTCTCCCCTTGCCTTTGTAGAACCGCCAGACTTTCAACAGCCTTACCTGCCTTAGCGCCCGGCGGCCGAGGAGGGCCCAGCGGCCCCCCGGCCCCCGCCTGGAGCGCAGGCCCCCGCTCCCCCGAGGTGATGCCGGGCAGGACCCCCGCCTGCACCCCGGTGCCGGAGCCGCCGCGCCCGCAGCCCGAGGACCCCCGGGCCAGCAGGGATGACCTCTCCTGCGAGGAGGAGGAGGAGGGCGGCGGGAAGGAGGAGGACAGGGTGACCTGGCGGAGCAGCGGGACAGGCGCCGAGAGCCTCTTCCAGCTGGACGGCGAGATCGACATCGAGCAGATCGAGAACAACTGAGGAGGGAGCGGGTCCTCTCGCCCCGGTGTCGGGGGGCTGCCAGCAGAGCCCTGGAGGGCTCCTCGCTGTGGTTTGCGGGGTCCTGTCACTGCTCCCCCTCCTGCCAGCTGGAGGGGACAAAGCAGCTTTGCCAAAATTTCATCAGGTATTTAGAGCAATTTGTGTGCATGCGTGTGTAAATCTTGAAATTCTTTGTAACTACTGTAGCCAGAGATCAGCCAAGTCGGAGGAAAGTGCCTGTCCGATAGGAAAACCAGGCACGGGGATTGCCAAAATCTCGCCATTAGCGAGTAAATGGCTTTTCCCAGGACAGGGTTGGAGCTGATGGAGCTGGCCATGCTCCCCTGGGTCCCACCTGTGCTAGTTGATTAAAGGGATGCACAAGGAGAAACCACCACCCCTGAGGCTGGAAAAAGTGGGGGAAAACCAGAATATTGAGATTTGCAATCCGAGCACTGGCTGGTGGCTACTGCCGGTGTGGCTGTGGCTCCTTTTCTCCCGCCACATCCCGTGCAGCCCCAGCACCCCCTCTCTCCCCGTGTCCCTGGCAGTGCCGTGAGAAGGAAATCACAAGTGAAGTCTTTTGCTTAAATTTAATAATGGCAAGAGCTGGATTTTTACTGTTTTTTTTTTTTAATATTTTTTGTTTAGTTTTCCTGATGAGGAATTAAAGGGACCCCACGCAGGGTGGTGTCCGCAGCAGTGCTTGCCGGGTGCTGCCCGGGGATGCTCAAATGCCTTTTCTTCCCTATTTTTTTAATTCTCAGCCCCCTCTCTCAACCCTGTTGGGAAACAGCCCCACTCAGGCTTGGTGCCACCCTCACTTGGGTTCCCATCACCCTGTTGGGACTGGGCTGTTTACCCATTTATCAGCAGCTGTGCCCTCTTTGCTACCCAGGGCACGGCTGCCACCCTCTTTTTTTGGCTTTACTGTGAAGGGCTGTGTGCCCAAGGCATGTCACAGCGGGGTTACTTGACAAAGTCAGCTGGCAAAAGGCTGAAAATCCAGGTAGCAGCACTGAAAGCTTTTCCTCTTCCTGTGCCTTTTTTTAAGCACAGATAAAATGGTGACCATTCTGTTTTTTACAATATGAATTCTCTTTGCTAAAAATAAGCTGTCCACTTGCTAACAGGTTTAGAAGGACATATATTTTTTTTTTCTCCCTTTGTTTTTTCTTCTGTTTGTTTGTTTAAAGCTCTAGGGAGTCTGTACGAGTGGCTTACAGCATCCTCTGCAGGTTCCTTCAAGCTCAGGGTTCACTTCCCGAGCTTTGCAAAAGCGAGAAAGGAAAATAATCATGGATACCAACAGCAATTGAAGACATGGCATTTTTAATGGGGTTCAGCACCCCCGTTGGTAGTGCTTTGAGGGTCCATAACTCAGAAAGACTGAGAGCTGCTGGTACAGGTTTCATTCACCATTTCTGGTTGTTAGTGCACTTTTTTCTGCAGTGGTTTGGGATACGTGTGGCATCTCTCACCACAGTGGAACCCATTAGCTGTTATCCCTGTCCTGGCACCCCAGAAGTTTTACTCCCTCCAGGAAAGCAGGACCAGCCCCAGGTATTTGAGGAGGGGATGACAGGGATGCCTTTTCATTTTGGGGAACCCTCCAACTCTTTTAAGTGTGGCTTGATGCATCACTTAGAAGAAAATACACCGTGGGTTAATTTTTAGCCCTCCTGTTGTGGAAGACGCTGCTGGTCTCAGACATTTTGGGAGGGTCCAGCCATGCCAGTGTTTTCCCAGGTTGCTGCCCCTCTGTCTGTGCCCCTGCAGGGTCACCCCCACAGCACAGTTCTTGGCTTTGAGTCTTCCTGATGCTCCATCCACCCTTCCCACCACTGACACGTCCCAGTCCTGGGGCACACAGCTCCTGCTGGCCACAGGCACCTCCTCAGCTGGCCGAAAAGGGGCAAAGTCACCCAAATCCGCGTCCGGCTGCTGTCGCAGAGCCCCGGGTGGGCTCTTGCATGTGCATCACTGGGGGAATTCCTAAGGGCTTCTGTTTTCTTTCCAAGGGCTGCTCCTGGTGCCATGCTAACCCTCCAGTGTGGGAAGGTGGCCAATGGACCACGATCCAGCTGTACTGGACGTAGCCGTAGCATTCAGTTTACATACAGCACAACCTGTTTGCCTTACTAAAAACGCTTCTCCAATGAGTCATGGCCTTATACTGGGCATGTTGGCGTAGGCACAGACTACAGTTAGCGACGGTTTTGAGGCCAGGGTGGTGTTCTGTTGGGTATTTCTTGTTGGGTTTGTATGATTTCATGTACTTATTCTCAGTTTAAGAAAGCCTTACTTTTTAAATTTCTTTTCTCTCTCTCTCTCTCTGTAGAGGTAAAACGTTTGTGGATTTATATATATATAAATATATATATAAATAAAGTAATTAAAAAATATTAAATATAATATAGTATGTGCCTCAGATTCAGGGGACATCCTGTTGATTGTAAAGTCAGAAGTGGCGTTGCTCCCTGGCGTCAGGAGATCCGTCCCCTACGCCTGCAGTGGGAGAGCAGGGCATCCCCCTGGGGGTCCTGCTCTTGGTTTGTAAAGGACTTCACCTATTACACAGATGCTTTGGTAACCCTCCAACTCCTCCCTCGACAAATCCCTGCCGGCTGCCAGAATGTGATGTTAAAGTAATATGCAGACAAAGGATGTTATTCCTTGCTAGGTAGCTAAAACAGGCTTATTATTGTGAAGAGACCCAATGGCTTGTCCAAGGTGTGACCCAGTCTGGGCAGCCATGGTTTTAGGATGACAGCAAAGCTGTGTCAGCAGCAATCATCCTGAAAAAAATAGGATTTTAACACAAAAAGTCTTAGCAGGCACACAGGAGTCTGCTGTGTGTTTGCAGATGTAGCTCTTTGAGCCGGTTCTACGAAAGAGTACATTTAATAAAACAACAACAACAACAAAAAAAAACCCAACGAAAAGAAGTGTTTGTAAAATAGATTGTAATTTTTCTACGTTCTAGCATAGCCTGTTTGGCCAATAAAGTCGTGTTTCAAGTGCATTGTTTAAAGCTCCTGGCTGCCCAGGCGAATAGACTGACGTAGGATGTTCTAGGATTGTAGAAGTGCTTTCCGGCGTGTCTTGAGTTTGGTGTTTTCAAGAAAGCGAAAAGAAGAGGATGGCCAAATTTAAAAAAAAAAATTAAAAAAAAATTAAAAAAGGATGAGAAGAAAAATAAAAAGCAAAGCCTTCTGAAGCTATGACCTGTAGTAGCCAAGTCTCGCTGGCAAAATTGCACAAGCGCCGCGGGACGCGCGTGTCCCCGGGGAGGGGCTGCCCGAGGTGCCCCCTGCGCGGGCCGGCGAGGAGGCTGCACGTTCCCACCCCCTCCATGACTTGATTGCACTAGAGCAGCTCAATCTCAGGAAATTGCTTGTTACTTTTACTGTGTAAATAAAGCTTCCTGGTTCAATAACCCCCGGCCGGTGTCTCGCCTCTCTGTGATGTGGGGTCGAGGGGTTCGGGGACACCGCTGCCCCTCGGGGATGTGACAGCTGGGTTGTGGCACTGGTTGGAGTCTGATGGGGCAGGAGTCTCCTCCTCTCCTCTCCCAGAGGGGGTCTGGCTGCACCCCCTTGGCCATCTCCATGGGTGCTGGGAGGGGGTGTCCCAAAAATATGTGTGTGTTGGCAAATGCCCCAGCTGGGACCCTCCATCGGGGTGTCTGTGTTAGAAATAGGAAGGAGCTCCCAGCTGTGGGTTGCACTGGAAAATGGACATTTTGTGATATTCACATGCAGGCAGACATGAAACATCCCACTGTGATGGGAGTTGTCTCCCATTGCTCCCCCAGCCTGACCCTGGCTGTCACTTAGTTGTAACACAGATGAAAATACAATAATGAAATGCTAAAAATATAACAACAAAATGCAAATTTAAGTGCCAAGTAGCACCTTATACTTTGTGTTTAAGGACAGAGATCATGTCCCACTCCTAAACTCAATGTCCCACCCCTAAACTCAGGCAAGGCCAGAGCTGACAGCAGGGCAAGGGCACACAGGAGTGTTAAATAAATACTTGAGGAAACAGGGCGATATCTCCCTTTATAACCAAAAAGGAAAACGGCTGTCCTTCCTCCAGCAAGCAAACAGTATAAAAAGTTTCATGACAGATGGCAGGATGTTTATCTGCCTAAACTTAATCAGATTGAAGTGATAGGCTTAGTATAATAGAACAAAAAAGGAAGAATTAGGGGATAAAAAAGAAATTCTCAGTGGTCTGTCACAGCCTGAATGTTCAACCAGGGTTTATGGCATCCTCCTGTGTGTGTGGGTGCTGACAGTACCACATGCTCTGGCTGAACCACTACCCAGAGGATAAAAGATACAAAATCAGACCAAAAAATTGCACTAAGGTCATATTCCCAGATGTAGTTTATTTTATTAGAATTTAATTCCCAGCCCGCTTTCCCCTGCCGTCCCCAAGGGGTGCCCTGCAGCTCAGGGGCCAGCTGGGAGCTCTGAAAAACAAGTGTTCCAACACTCATAGGCTGCTCCAGAAACAAGGAGAATCACTTTGGTGTCCTTCAGCAAGCAGGGGTTTCTTCAGCTGTTGGGACTGCTGGAGCTGGCATTATCATTTACTTCCTGCTTCCAGATGCAGGAAGCAGTGGCTGAATGCAGGCACTGGCCAGCACATTACATATAAATATACATTACACAGAATTACACACCTGACCATGGTCCCATGGGAGGTCTGAAGCAGCTTAAAGCCCAAAAAGTCTTGCCCAGAGCCCAAGAGGGTGCAGAGCTGCTGACATGTTGATTAAAAGGGGACTTGTGTCTCTGAAAGGTGACCCTTGCCAACGCTGCCAAGTGTTGGTGAGGGTGGGCAGAGGATGTGATGGAGTAACCCCTAATCATTAATTCTTTCACCCATTTTGAGCCCCTGTCCCAGCCATGCTCTTGCCACGTGCAGAATGGACAGGTGTTACCACACAGGCTGCAACACCTGTTCTGCAAAACTGATGGGGGAGAGAAACTAAAAACCCTGGGGATGTGCTGGAGAGCTGCAGTGCCTGGAAGCAGGAAGCAGTTCCTTTCAGAAACCCTTATTGTGGTGAGAAAAGGCAAATCTCGTGGCTGCCCCTGCTCCATGGAGCACCACTTGGCAGCCCTGCACGTGCTGAGAGCTCCTGGCAGCAGGATGGGGCTGAGCTGGAGCTAAACTGATGTGGCAGAATCTTGGCAGGCATGTGGTGCTGGTACAGGATCAGTCCCAGGGGATGTTCAGTGAGTGCAGAGAATCACAGAATGGTTTGGGCTGGAAGAGACCTCAAAGACCATTTTGTTCCACCCCCTGCCATGGGCAGGGACACCTTCCACTATTCCACGTTGCTCCAAGCCCCATCCAACCTGGCCTTGGACACCTCCAGGGATGGGGCAGCCACAGCTTCTCTGGGCAACCTGTGCCAGGGCCTCACCACCCTCACAGGGAAGAATCTCTTCCCAATATCCAACCTAAACCTACCCTTTTTAAAGCCATTCCCCTTTGTCCTGTTATTCTATGCCCTTGTGAAAAGTCCCTCTCAAGCTGGGCCTGTGTGGGACTCAACACCAACAGCTCCCTGGCACAGGGGAGCCCTTGGGCCCCTGTG